GGAGCCAATCTCAACATCTTATCGATTCCTTCCGCTTTCTAGTGTCCCTACGTGCCTCTACCATTATCAATTCTCTCTAAACCCAACCATAACTTACTCCCCTAACATTGCTCTCCCCACAGCTTACCAATAAAGCCCTATATCCTTGCGGTCGGAGTAGACATACAGTCGAGCATCTCCTATTTAGTTATTCCATCCTAGATAATAAAAAAAAAAGCCTCCCTTTCACTCCGTGGGAGCTCCGCCAGCTCGACCACCGCCATCGTCTCTTAGACCGTCGGCAGCGCATTCTTTACCGCCTGCTCGACTACTGCCCTACAGAAATTTCGAAACGGGCCATTCGCTATTTCGGATTCTCTCAATTTAGGTGGACAAACCAACACATAACGTAATTAGGTAGTCCAGCCCTCAAACCCTCGTGTGTCCCGCAGACTGATAGAATCCCTAGTCATTTAGGTCTTCTTATAACTCTACAAGCTTGAAGTTTTCATCCATTTAGTCACAGTAGATAGTGGCTGCTGCTAAGCTTTCATCTCTTTTTGGCGTGGAAAGCTTCCTCGCCCCTTAGGCTCAAAAGGTTACTAGTAATAATGTAACCACTGCGTAAACCAACTATCCGCTTCCCATCCCATTATGTAATATTTATGATGAAGATATAACACCGCACTATCTTACGCTCAGTTTGGGTTTTGCTGATCTCCACGCACCAATTCAATATGCTTCTAGAAATGCCAAGTGCTACAATTAACTTAATGCTGCATATTGCTGCCGTAATGTGACATACCCTGTGTATGTGAGGATTTATTAAAGCAAGTAAGAAGCTTTCTAGTTTGTTAGCCTCGGCGTGTGAAAACCTTCTTTACCTCTGTGGCTTAAGTTTGCGACCTTTTTAGGTGAAAGCCGAAGTACCTAAGGTTACTTTGTCCCGCATATCTTATTTATGGCTATTGCCCGCTGTAGACTCATACGGCGAAAACTCAAATCAAGCAGAAGCAGTAGACTCATACGGCGAAGACTTGAATTGAGCAGTTACTCTGTCCCGTCCTCCCGTCCCCGACACCGCATGTGGATTTGGTTGATGCGACTGTGCCACTTCCATTTACATACCTACATGAAGACCCGACCGCCCACTTTCTTCTGCAACACACAACGAAAGATTTCCCCTCTGGCGAACAAGATCCGACACGATGACTTCTTTCTCACCTTTCCTTTCCCTTCCCCGCGAAATCCGGGACAAGATTTACGAGCATTACGTTACAGTTCCAGGGGGGTACAAATGCGACCCAAGCCAATTTGCTGCAAACGTCCTAGCGCGCAAACGAGACAGGCTCGGCCACTTCAGCCTCGCCGGCATCTTGAAAGACGCGGACGGTCAAGCCATCGACCTAAACATGTTATATACATGTCGCCTCGTTGCTTCAGAGATGCACGGTGTTGCCCTGCGCATCAATACGATATCCTTCTCAACCGTCACTTCTGACCGGCTTCGCAGCCTAGCGTTAGAGCATCAATTGACGTTAGGACATGTCAAATCCATGCGGCGAGAGCTGACCTACTACGTCGTGCAGATTATGTCAGAAAAGTCTTTGAACGAACTCAAGCTCAAGTATCCACCATTCGTTCCGATCTTGGAGAAAATGAGAGCGGAAGGAGAATATGACATTGATATGATGTGGAAGGGCCCGTATGGAGAGGCCAATTCGCTGTGGTGGAGCTTCTGCAAAGATGTGCTCGAGCTGGGCCTGCCTCCAGATGTTGGCCATGAAGCTGTCTGTCGATATCATTCGGACTACACCCGCAGGTGGTACGAGGAGCTTACCCTTGACGATTACATCTCCTGTTTTGCTGACGTACTTGATTGTCAGCTCACAGACTGGTCTATCCCAACCGAAGATATCATCACGACTGTCGGCAGAGACCATATGGATCAAATCGAACAATCTCGGGGGATGAGAGACCGAGTAAAGTATCGCTTTTCAGCTGCGGCGGCAGCCATATTCTTTCTGAACAACCTCGATATTGGGCTCCGCACAACACTACGCAGGATTGTGTTGAATGAAGACGGCGAGGCTATTGGATATCCCCAAAGTCATGCAATGGGCTTGATACCTTTCTGCCAGCAAAATCCTCGTCTTTTTGTGGAGCGTCGTGTTGACCTCTGGAGGAACGCTCTTCAATGGGAAAAGTTCTGGTCGACGACTGGGTCCCAAAAATACAAGTATCAGGACACGCACCGAACAACTTGGCAAATAAGTTCTTCCCAGATTACTCAGGTCTTTAACAACTGGATCATAGAAGGCTTGGCCCTTGCGGCCGCAGGTATGCCTGCAAAGTCATTCCGCTTGGTGCTCGATGGCCAGCCACTACCTCATTTGGTCACGGAAATGTTTCAGTCTGTTGTCCAGCGGGACGTCGCCCGACAACTCGCCTGGGAAGAATCAGTGAAGCGAGGTATTATCTCCGCGCCGCCACTGTTCGACTCAGAGGTCAAGGAGAGTCTAGCAGACGGACATGTTATTCCCTGGAACCACTTCAAACATCTTCCTCGGGCTATAAGAGATATTGCCGAGAACAGATCGGTCGTCCGATGCAATTTCGACGTTGGAGAACCATGGGACGTGGAAATGATGGTACATGATAACAAAAACTGGACAGTTACCCAGTGGAGGAAGGAAATGGGAAATGGCCATGAACCGGAAACATGGGAAACGGAGGCTCCTCTGCCACCGTGGAGATCTGTCTTGGAGGAAAATCTTGTCCCCATACCTGATGTGCTGGATATGGGCGTCGGTGCTTTTCTTGATAGTCTCACTGATTCCTGAGGCTGGTCATACTTGGCATCGTTTGTGTAAGGCCAACAAGAAATAAGGGAATCTGCTTGGCTGTGTATGAAAAGTTGGACAAGCTGGAGTCTATCTCTAAATGAAGCTACCGTGTGTTTTGCTTGTCCAAAAATGCGGATTTAGAGACTAGTCTATCAAAAGCCACTGGAATTTATTCTTCCCGGAAATCTAAATCCAGACCACCAAGACCAGATATTCAGTTACATTGGCTAATGTTGTTCCAATTTCTGCTACAAGGCAATTGCAGCCCCTTTCTCGGCAAGCTTGACCGCAGCCTCGTTACCTTCAGTGCCGGCGTGACCCTTGCACCATTGGAAACATGTTTTGACTGTACGCTGGCGAATGAAGTCGAGAATATCTCTGAACAAGTCCTGATGATAAACCGGTCGCCCAGCCGCTCTCATCCCATTCTTTATATCGTTCCGTGACGGCTGAGAGCACATACTGGCTGTCCGTCCAGGTGAACATAGCTTAGTCCTTAGGCACGCTCTGCAATGCGCGCAAAACGGCAGTGGCCCCTGCACTTTGGTTCGTCTTATAGTAGTTGCTTGCTCCTTGTACCGATTCTGCGAGTGTTCTGGCTTTTGGTTAGCGTTGTCATCGTATGATACTCTTCTCTTAAACTCCCAAGGCAAGCTTGATTCCCACGGCGCAGAAGAAAAAGTAGAGACCAAGGCTCAGAATATGGCAGCATTACCTCTCATCGTTGGGTCCAAAGTATACTCCCAAGCCTGCTATCCGAAAATCCGGTTCCCCTTTGTCGGGGTGTTTATTTACTAAACTGCTGCTATTGGTATACACCTCAATCATACCGTCCGGCAAAGGGTGAGATCTTGCACGTCTGTTGTCGACCATTTTATTCACTGTGTTCAAACTCTTGCCCATGAAGTCCAAATAACTCGCATCATCGTTGACATTGCCTATGTCGTTATCTCCAGACTGTTCCGCATCGGGGAGAGGGGGAGCGTTAGGAGCCACTCCAGTCCGTTCCTTGACATAATCCTCTGCATCTTGGCGAGTGGCGACAGACTAAGTGTACCACTCCCGGTGTGACTGCTTTTTTATTATATCAAAGTCAGCAACCATGCCCGTGAAATTGCTGCCTACGATACCGCGGTATTGAGTTGTTCTGAAGCCCTTGCCAGTCGCGTCTCTTACAAGGGCTTGTCAACCACAAATGCATGCGCTTCCTCAGAATAAGTGAACATGTCGTCTGTGCAGTTCACAAAAACGTGAACTGGTGCTGCCCGGCGACGGGTGGTCACAAATGGGAAGGGGGGGGGATGACACCCACGGTGAGCTCCACGATATCCAGCTGTCTGAGCCCGGCAATGGAACCAGTCTGAGTTAAAACTTAGGCATGGCCTCTCCGAACGCCGTACCAGAGCGGCTTGTTCACGTCTATCTGCACTTCGGCTGCAGCTTTGATGCCGCCGGTCATAGTATTGGTCGATGATGTGAGAAATCCCAACTCCGGGTTTATAGTGGAGCGGGGGCCGGCCATCAGGCACGCAAAGGCCCACTCACGTCGGACCAATCCATCCCCACCCGGCCCAATCCCGGCCTGCTAACATTTAAGAGTATCAATAATTTTCCGTCGACAGGCTAGTAATAAGGCTGCTTTCTGCAATTTCCACCTCTCTTCTTTGTCGTTTTCCAGCTGTCGTTGGCCAACCCCCGGCTTGTCGTCAGGTGTACCTTGAAGGCCAATCGCTTCGGGCTTTTTCGATCCGGGATCGGTCTTGGCTACTTGCCAAGCGGTCCATCTCCGCCGACAACGTCGCAATGCCGAATGGCGCGCTTACCTGGCCATAGGACGGGATGAGAGTCTCCGGGATAGCTAATTACTCCGTGGCGCGCTTGGGCACGATCAAGCCTCGCAATTTGCACACACACATGTTCGACAGAGGTAGGAGGTAGATAGAAGCTGCGCAAGAGGATCGCAACTGACTTATAAAGCCCCGGCCAAACCGTAGATTCTTTCCGCTTTTGTTTCCAGATGTCAGGCGATAACCCGTTTCCCTTGTCTTTGCTCCCCTCCTCCGGAACGCCAGCCAGCGCAGTAAACCGCCACGGAGAGAATCCAATCACCAGCCCAGTCCGCAACTTTGTCACGAAGACCCTGGAACGGTGAACGCAGAACACAAGATGTCACCCATGTGGAAAGGAATCCTCAATGGCTTGATTGCTATTGCGTCGCTGGTTCCGGCTGTTAGCGGCCAGTATCCTAACCCGGGCGTCGTCTCGGGCAACATCAATGTCCATGACCCTACTGTCGTCAAAACCCCGAGCGGCACTTATCTCATGGCCCACACGGGAACCAACGTTGCTCTCAAAACCTCTACCGACCGCACCGTGTGGCGTGACGCTGGCGCCGCTTTTCCTAACGGCGCCTCATGGACAACTCCTTACACCAATGGGGACACCAATCTCTGGGCACCAGATATCTCATATCGCAATGGAAAGTACTTCATGTACTACTCAGCATCTACTTTTGGGTCACAGAAGTCGGCAATCTTCCTTGCCACAAGCTCCACCGGTGCGTCGGGATCGTGGACCAACCAAGGGTTGGTTATTGAGTCCTCAAGCTCAGTTGACTACAACGCCATCGACCCCAACCTTATTGTAGACGCGCAAGGCAACTGGTGGCTCTCATTTGGCTCCTTTTGGACAGGAATCAAAATGATTTCACTGAACTCCAGCACCGGCAAGCGGTCAGGCACCAACCTGGTGTCTCTTGCTCGTCGTACCGTGGCAGATGGTGCTATCGAAGCACCTTACATCACTCGTCGTGGCAATTACTACTATTTGTGGGTGTCGTTCGACAGGTGCTGCAATGGCGCCGCTAGCACCTATCGTATTATGGTTGGTCGTTCCACTAGTGTGACGGGCCCCTTTGTGGACCGGAACGGGGTGAACATGATGTCTGGTGGCGGGACTGAAGTGATGGCTACCCACGGCTCCATTTATGGACCCGGCCATCCATCAGTGTTCACGGATTCAGATGCTGATGTTCTTGTTTACCATTACTACAACAGCAACAACGCCGCTCTGTTGGGAATCAATCTCATTCGTTACGATTCGGACTGGCCGGTTATTTATTGATCGAGGTCTCTTTGGAACACAGACGTAGCTTGTATCATAGGGGTCGTTCTCAGAGTCATATAATAAGCTTTAAGCTCAATCATGATATAACACTCACGAGGATGAATCACACCTTTAAGCTTGCATCTTGAATAAGTTACTTAGCGCTTGTGCTTGTGGTTCAACCAGACAATACCGATCAGAAAAGGCTGTCGTGACATCCTGTGCATAGCTTGAGACCCCCACACGCAGCCACTTTCCTCACGACACCCGGTGTTACTTACCACTGGAAAACGCACCTACTGCCAGAGTCTTCACTTGTCTTCATTTGACTCCTCGTGCAATACTGTCAATGTGAGGCTGCGTCTTTCCCAGCTGCTCCGTCTGCGCGGTGACAGTCCAAAGAAGTGAGAATACATTTCTTGCTTTAACAATCAGCGAAACCATGGGTGTAAGAAATGGGGTCTTTTTTTGGTATTCTGGAATCTATCGTTGAAGTGCGGGCTCAATCTCTGCTCCAAGTGAGCGTTGGCGCGACCCTGCCAACATAATTGGCATCGGAGATGTATTGAATCCACCCCAATTGAAGCGGCCGAGGTAGGCCATTCCTTCTGTTTTCCTGCTGAAATTGGTGAGGCCTCTGTAGCGGCCCCTGCACTCAGTCCAGTATCAGTGCAGAAGGAATGGGTGGTAACATTTCATGCAGTATCCTAGCAGGTTGTGAGTTGAGTCGTTTTCAAAGGCCTTGACACGCATCCAGACGAAGCCATCACGATCGAGGTGGCCTAAATGTGAGAACCATGCAGTTTGTTGTTTTCAGTTCTTTTATGTCCTGCCGGGTGTTATCGATTATGTAGGTCTGCCAATTCTAGCATCTTGATGCGCAGAAGACCCTCAGCGACTCAGGCTTATCGTACGTTGCGTTCGTGGCTTTCCCAGATCGTGTGCAGTTTGAGGGACAATAATTTATTTTGTTACTTGCAATTATCGACATTCCGGCGCCTTCAACCCTCATTGGCAGCCACGATTTGTGCCACATAGTGTAGGCAAGTGTGCAATCCCTGATCCTGACTGCGCTTGCCTCCACCTATGGGAGATATTGCTGGTATTTAACAACCTGAGTGGAATGTCGTTCATAAAGAACATTGTCCGAATAGACATAGCATGGCGTCAATGTGACGTATCAGTCAGGGTGTCGTAGTTCGGCAATGAAGGATTCAGTCATTGATGAAAATAATATGCCGTTTGGAATGGGTTGCGTGCAAACAACAGGCGTATAAACAAGAGTCTCTGCAGCTGCAGATGATGGCTACTTTGAGCCTGGTCTTGATGGATTTGGGTGGTAGAAAAAAGGTTGTTGATTGAGTTTTAGAATGATGCCGGGTACCGGGTTCATCCATAAAAAAGAAGGTCGGCTCGTGTTCAAAGGTGCGCACATGCCAGTGAAGCTACAGCACAATTTGCCTGTTCTAGGCAGAATGAAAGCTAGCACTGGAAGGAAGTGGGTGCCTCTTAAGAAAGGACTAGTTCTACGTTCCGTCTTACTTGATATACTAGCAGGAGCCACCCTCGTTGACCCTCGTTGACCCTCGTTGACCCTCGTTGACCCTCGTTGACCCTCGTTGACCCTCGGTGTTACTCAGCCTCAGCGATCACGCCGGGGCTTCAACATTCTCGAGAAACACAAGCAGGCACGGCTCGCACACAGACATCTCTTTGTGCTTAAGAGAGTTCGCCTGATACATATATCATGGAGGGTCGCTACCACCAGTCGCGTTCCATGATCTGTATAAGCAGGAACTCAAACCTAAGACGCAGGTATCATCGCGGGCAGAGTTGAGCTTGGCCCATTGGGTCCAGCGGCTTGACGGCTATGTTTCATACCTGTAAATCTGGATTGAGAAGAGGTTTACCTTCGGGCTGATCAAGATTATCCATGTATAAAAAGACAGGTCAGCCCACTTCATGAGTGTACCATATCTCTCAATGGATTCCTCAATACGAATGTCACCACGGCAATTCCATACGGCGAGCAAATTACACATTTCCGACGTTCACATGAACCATGGCAAGAAACACCATTCCTCACGCCCGAGAGAATGCCGCGAACACCTTCAAATTTCCAGAATTACATGACGATGTGTTTCGAGCGGTTCGAGACGATGTCCCATCCGCGTGGTTCAACCGAAATGGCTCCAAGCATAACGCGGTGAACGAGTATTCCACCAACGTCATGGGGCGATTCACCTGCGTGAACATGTCCTGCTCCAACAAAACCTGGGGTAGCAAGATGGTGGCTGTTCTCATCAGGGGTTTCAAAAACAACGGTTACGATGCGATCGTGTTTAACCAACGCTGCATTTCATGCAGGAAACTTGGCACCTTCATCCTAGATGAAGATTCTTATGCCGAACGAGTGGCGTATCGACTAAAGAAATGGGCGGGAGTCAATGTTGAGCTACCCTTCTACAACTCTAAGGATGGTCCACCCCACGAGAGCGATCTTTGTGAAGGCTGCAAACGAGGATTTTGCAAGCGGCGTAGTTCAAACACCTATCGTTCATAGATTGAGATAAACTTTAAAGTTTGAAGTTCGAGGTTAATTATACTAGTGACTTGAGTTTCTAATGGAACTCATTACGATATGCGGGAGGCCTACTAGCATTATGAGGATCATTATATTGCCTGGTTATGTAGTTCCATAGGCAGAGTATTGATTGGATGTTTGGGGAGTTAAGAGCGAAGAACAACGCCTGTTTTATAGGTGGAAGTTTAATGCGTCCTGAAGAGCCATCGCTTGGCCTTTGAGGGTTTAGTGAGTGGGAAGACGACGTGGGTGGCATCCATTACAGCGGTGTCAAGTGGCACTTTAGGAATGTTCCGATTCCGATTGTTATCAGTGTTCCGATCACTGATAACGGGTTCCAAGTCAATCTATTGGTGGGATCAAGGCGCAGAGATAAAGTTGCATTTACTGAGGGCTGTACAATCATAGACATAGGCCCGGCACCTCCTACATTCAGCCTTTAGGGTGGATGCATTCCTGCTGATGGTCTTCTATGTGTTGCTTTGGGCCTCTCCTATTTAAGGAAACTAGCAGAAAATGAGCTTTTGCAAAGTGATTCTGCGTGGCTCTCTCTAATAAGAAGTAGTTGAAGAGCCTGAGACATTTGGCCTCATAATAATCTATAGGCTGCACGCGCACCTGGTTTATAGATTACATTACGTCTTGATCTGGCAATCAGATTTCAGCTAAGTTACTGAAGAACCCTTTTCTCTAAAATTTAGTTATCGTTGTAAAAGTAAATCTCGGATTTTCTAAGTATCTTCTCTTCAAATATCTACGGTGGCTTCTTAAAACCCTCCCATCTCTCAAAACCATTAGTATGAATCCCTAGAGAGTCCAGCATTCTACCAACAGTTTGATCAATAACCTCCTTGAGGCTCGTAGGTCTCGTGTAGAAAGCGGGTACGGGTGGAAATATGGTGGCTCCAGCTCGTCGAAGAAACAACATGTTATCGAGGTGAATGTCGTTCAATGGTGTTTCGCGTACTGCGAGTGTGAGTCGCCGTCCTTCTTTGAGCGTAACATCGGCAGCGCGGGCTATAAGGTCATCACCAAACCCTGCCCGAATAGCTGCTAATGTTTTCATGCTACATGGAACTATGATCATACCATCATGTTGGAACGAACCGGAGGCAACAGGGCTGGAAACATCGCGTGCGGTGTAGTTGACAGTTGCAAGTTGTCGAATTTCCATCTCCGTGAGAGGAGTCTCGTACTTGAGCGTCGCAAGAGCCCACTTGCTCAAAATCAAGTGGGTTTCAACTTCAAGTCCGCGTAGAACCTCAAGCAACCGGACTGCGAAAACAACACCGGTAGCACCGGTAATTCCGACAACCAACCGCCTCGGTCGATGTGGCATGCGACGAACTAAGTGTTGGGTGGCCGGTTTCCGTGGGGATGTGGAACTGCCTTGACTGTTGCTGAATGACGTCGGAGACAAATTCGATATCGTTGGCTTTCGTTTTCGTATTGTTTGCGACACGTCTTGCTCTTTCATTCTTTTGAGTGTGGTGTGTATACGTCCCGCTTTCAAAAAAAGTAGCGGCCGTGGAAGAATTCGTCGCATAGCTTCTGTTGAATGTTTTGATGCCGGATACTTGGATGCTGAAGTCCGTAAGCAGAGATTGATAGTTACGGCTGATGCTTGTGACGATTCGGCAAGCTGGCAAAACTTTTGATTATCCACTCAAGCCTCGTTTGAAGTATTGGTGGTGTCAAATTATATGACCGGACATAGGTTCTGGATTTATTTATTTGACTTCATTCAGGTCAACCCAATTGAACAACGCGGATCATTGATATCTGACGCGTAGTGGAAAGCTCCCATCTGCAGTAGATCGCCAATTCCGTTCCGCATGACGGAATAACACAGGAACGACTTAGGAATGATCCGGAAACGGAATGCAGCCGCTTGGCACACAATGCATGCACTGCTTAATTTGAACTTTTGCCGTAAGCTCCATATTGAAAAGATGCTTCCATCTATGATCACAGCGGATGCTGAATGTTTGTGTGAACTCACTCAACATTGAACCTTCAGAATCTTTCAAATCCTCGGCTTCTTTAGGCACTGCATCAGCTCGACGTCAGTTTTGATGTTCATTACGGCTGCGACGACAATGGGGAAATTATTTCCGCCGTGGATTCCAACGATACGCCGGGGCATTCGATTTCGGCATACAACAGCCAGAAGTCCAGAGCGAAACAGCATCGGCCACATCCAGCCCGATGATTTCGAAGCCCAACTGGACTTCAGAAAGTTCCTAGACGTCCTTCGCCGTGATGGCGACATTGCAGAGATCAACGTTGAGGTAGATCCGCACCTAGAGGTTGGGGCAATCATCCGCAGGGTCAGCGAAACCTGTGGCAAGGCACCGCTCTTTAACAACGTCAAAGGCTGTCGAGATGGGCTCTGGCGTATATTTGGCAACCCAGCCAGCTTACGGTCAAAAGA